TTTACATGTTTGTAGACTTATCGTTGATCCGATGCCAGGTCTTATACTTTAGAGTTGTATCTTTAGATTCTCTACATACCCTAATTATTTACACCTTATAGCATTTCTTTAGCATAACATAAACGTTTCTAAACTGCAGAAGGTGGACATGCATTTTTTAATATAATGCCAACCTTAGGTCGAAAAAAAAATAAATGTGCCAAAATATTATTAATCTTTTATCACAGTTTCTTGTTATAGCTGCAGTGAACAAATGGTATTGTTTACTGTGTTTAAGTATACTTTAATGTTTGATCATCGAAGATTTGTTTAATTATGACTACTTTTATAACCATTAAATTTCATTGTTGATTTAGCGTATTGTAAGTTGAAGGATTTTTTTAAATAAATCTCTTCTAGTAGATTGATTTTATCTTCTTTTTTTCGGCTTTGCTGAGTTTGGGAGAAAAGTTGTTCTCAGTTGACTTTAACATTTTCGTGTTTATTATTAGTTTTCACTCAGGCTGTAAGGGAACGGATAGTTTTAAGACCAATTTTTTTGCTCTGACTGCAATTCTGTTAAAACAACAAAATGGGACGACTTGCAGTTTTATTTAATCTACTCTATAAAAAGTTATTGTTATTTTAATTTTTCTTCCAATCTCATTAGATTTTCCATGTTCTATGCCTTGAACGTAATTTCTGCTGCTTCATATTTGTTCAACAACATGGGATTTGGGAGCCAGAACCCAATCCCCTCCTTTCGATGACTGCTTTCTTTCATACTTTTTCCATACTCTCTTGTCCTCCGGTTTCGATAACAGCGATGAGCATAGCACAGATAGCCCACTGCATAGCTTTGTGCTTAACAACAACAATAAAAAAACTAGCCATTCTTTTTTCTGTAATCACTGAATTGTGTTTTTAATAAACTTACAGACGTGAACTTAAACATTTCTAAGAAAGCGTGTAGTGTATTACTGAAAGCTTGATTAGTAGATTCAACCAATGAAAGTATCTAGTGTATTGTTGAAAGCTTGATTAGTAGGGTCAATCAATGAAAGTGTCTAGTGTATTGCTGACAGATTGATTAGTAGAGTCAACCAATGAATGTGTCTAGTGTATTACTGAAAGCTTGATCAGTATGTTTAACCAATGAAATTTCCTAGTGTATTATTTGATATAGTGATTAGCATGGTTAACCAATAAAAGTGTCTAGTGTATTATAATTTGATACAGTAAGTCAACCAATAAAAGTGTCTGGTGTATTATTTGATATAATGATTAGTATGATCAACCAACAAAAGTGTCTAGTGTATTATTTCATATAGTGATTAGTAGGTCAACCAATGAAAGTGTCTAGTGTATCATTTGATATAGTGGTTAGTAGGTCAACCAATGAAAGTGTCTAGTGTATTATTTGATATAGTGATTAGTAGGTCAACCAATAAAAGTGTCTAGTGTATTATTTGATATAATGATTAGTATGATAAACCAACAAAGGTGTCTAGTGTATTATTTGATATAGTGATTAGTAGGTCAACCAATAAAAGTGTCTAGTGTATTATTTGATATAATGATCAGTATGATCAACCAACAAAGGTGTCTAGTGTATTATTTCATATAGTGCTTTGTGGAGTCAACCAATGAAAGTGTCTAGTGTATTATTTCATATAGTGTTTAGTGGAGTCAACCAATGAAAGTGTCTAGTGTATTATTTCATAAGTGTTTAGTGGAGTCAACCAATGAAAGTGTCTAGTGTATTATTTGACATAGTGATTACTGGCGTCAACCAATGAAATTTGTAGTTTATTGTGTAAAAATCGTGATTATCCACGTGGATCAACAAAAATAATACAGAACAGCTGAGTTAGAAGCTTTTATTACTTCACAATTGTAAGTTAACATATGTAGTGTAAATTGTTTGTCCTGAGTTAGTTCCAGTTTGTTTATAGATATTCACATTCCACACTTGTAACAGTTGCAGGATTTAGGTTCCTGAAGGCGTATAGTCATAACAGCGGTCTTCCCAAACAATCGTTGTCCGTCTGTATCGTAACATTCTTTAAGCTGGACATCTTTTTGGACCATGGTGGCTTCCTTACAACACTGACATTCCTAGAGAAATTCAACAACTTCACGTTAGGACGTAGTAAAACAGCATGTGTAGTTTCTTTACGTCACTGGTTTTATACAGAAAAATACTTAGTTTTTACACGGCAAGGTAATTAGTGTATACGATATAAGTTAACAATACCATCAGTGCAATACACTCTTTCTGATATGCGAATACAATGTGATTAACATAACAGTGGATTTGAGAGATAATGTTTGATTTGAAGGTTATTAGTTAGAACAATAGAATAAATTTACATCTTTAACACTGTCGTTTCACTAATAATCTTAACAACATGGTCTACACCATATGTTTTGTGGGAGTTAGTAAATCCTGGTTTCTGTAATGTCAATAAAATATCGAAAATACGCAAAAATCATCAACTGTGATATCACGATCTGGCAACACATGTTGAGTTATACTTATATAAGTTATATTTTCCGACATTTAATATCAGATAGCCACCCAATGATGTAGCTCACACATCTCTGGATTTCTATGTCGTTTCATGATTTTATTTCCCATAATTCCCACACTGCAGTTTTCTGTGTAATATTCAGAAGATTTTGGAAAGGTCAGTATTCCTCTAATAAAAGTTCAGGAATACATTAGCCACGGTGGGTGCCAAGTTAGATTCCATGTTTACCTCTGGTGGGTACCAAGTTAGATCCCATGTTTACCTCTGGTGGGTACCAAGTTAGAACTTATATTCACCTCTGGTGGATGTCAAGTTAGATCCTACATTTACCTCTAGTGGGTGTTAAATTAGAACTTATATTTACCTTTGGTTGGTGCCAAATTATATCTTATATTAACCTCTGGTGGATGTCAAGTTAGATCGCATATTAGCCTCTGGTCGGATCCAGGTTAGATCCTATATTAACCTCACCAGTTTGATCATAATATTTCTATTTCATTCAAAATGTGACTGATTAACAGGAAACACATTTAGATGAACTTTTACTTTCCAAACAAAGAAACAAACAATTAAGTGTTACAGTTACTGTAAAATTCAAATTTATAATTATAAGTTCAGGAATGATCATATTTGGACAAATAAATTATATAAAAAATAAATGCACAAATATTAATGTTAGACTTAAATTCATTATGCTATAATTAATCTAAATGGATTACAGAAACAAACTACCCAACAGATGGTAGAACTTTTGTAAAAATGTTGCCCAGGTATTTATTTTGTGACTTCCGTAAACATTGAAAGACTTATAGATAAGCTTAACCTTAAAAATTATCATTGTTATAATTTCTAACCACAGCGATCTTATTTCATCTCCCACAGGAGATATTTTCGGATAAACATATTCCACCCAGATTTTGTTTTTTCATGAAAGTCATAAATAGTATTAGAAAGACTGCAGTGACTTGTGGGACGAACGTCATTCGTCAAAAGAAATTCTCAGTTTACATATTTGAAGGAATGATCTCAGAAATTACTCTTTTTTTTGAAACATATTAACACCACTGTTATGAATATATTGGCTTATAATGTTAGCAAAGTAATCAAGACTACTTCGCTACAAAATTTAAAATACGATTAATTCAATGTCGAGTCACTTAGGAATAAAAACACCAAACAAACATTTTCAATGTTTTCAAACTTTTAATACACACAATGCGACGTTTTAATCGTCATATACAGTATCGCGGTAGAAACGTCACGAATCTAATTAAATATACTTAAATAAAGAAATAACCAAAGTATCTGGCATTTTCCACATGAACAGCACTATGAGTGCACAATAACGAACTACTTACCAGAGTTTACTTAGTTTAGTAGCGTCAGCCAACACAAGGCTTTGGAGCTCCACCCCCCCCCCCCAAAAAAAAACAAAAAAAAACAATAGGGAATCCTCAACAGGCGCGTCACTTGAATTTCTTTTAGGAAGGAATAGAATAAATTAATTTATGAAACTTTTTTTTTCCTTTTTTAGCTATATTTTTGTGCGCCAGCAATACCAAGCGTGGGGTGCGCGTATACCCGATTAAATTTCATTACTCATCAGAATCTATACCAGTCTACCCTCAAATTGAATTTGTTTTAGGCAATATTAGAGTAAATTAATCTATGAGACCTTGAGCGTAGTCAAATAAATCAATCGAAAGGATTTGATCTCCTAAGTCCAAAACTGTAATTAGATCTCAAATCGGTCAAGAGATGGCGGAGCTACGGGCTAAAAATTTGTACTTGAAAAAAACTGCCGTTCTAGGAGCTGCTATGCTGCGGCTAAAACAAAACAAAAACGGTATGACAATCACTCTTATAACTCACCTACAGCAAAAAGTGCGGAATGTGTTTAAGTGCATCGCGGCGCCATCTTTGGACCTTTCAAACGGTAGTTTAGTACATTAACCAATAGGCCATGCCAAGATAAGTGAAATTTACAATCAAATAACACTGTTTTCCATCCTCTGGTCTACATTGTTAGGGTTGTGGTAGTAGTATAAAAAACGAAGTTATACAATTTATAGTTAGAGAAAGAAAGAAACTTGCCTTAAGAAAACCGCTTGGAGTTAATACACTAGGCTTCACCCGAGACTCACATGTGCCCTCACATTTGGATGTCACTAATGTTCCTTCGCATGTGCGTAGCACATTTCCCATAACATCGAAATCTTCCTTTGTCACGTGAATTTGAGATGGAAGAGTAGTGCAAGTTATTTCAAACATGTCAATTCCTGTTTTTGCTGGATGGAGTGTTGTGATAAGTAGGGAAAGAAACATCAGCATGTTCAAGGCCATCTTTTCTAGAAGGGAATTCTTACATCAAACTTCAGTTGTACAACTACTGAAAGTCGGTAGTATCAAGATCAACAAATATATGGAACAATTATAACAGTAAGTAAATTTCTCAACTTGTGGACTGAATTTTCTTTGGATTTTTCCCGCCATTTTTTCTTGGAAAAGCAGTGTTTAAGTTGGATTTAGACAGTGTGTTCAACTTGTGGACTGAATTTTGTATGGACTTGTTCTGTAGTTATTCTTGGTTCCGAGGCGATATTTGGGTCTCCGTGTTTGATGGACTCGAAATGGAACCTGAAACGTCGCCACAAAATGAGATATATTCTCAGCTTCAGAGTTTTTGGGTCGGCCTTTACTTCTCTTGGTCAAATCTCAAGATATTTTCAGAACTATCGATGCTACAAACCATAAAATCCAAAATTGAAAAGCAATAAATGATGTTGTTTCTCATTGATATAATGCAATATTGTATAAACTGAACTATAAGAAATAAAACTTGAAATACATATAAAAGATAGTTTAGAAATACAAGGTATGGTTGACATAATTATCAGTTTAGAGATACAAGGTAATGTTGACATAGTTATTAGTTTAGAGATACAAGGTATCAGTGACATAGTTATTAGTTTAGAAATACAAGGTATGGTTGACATAATTATTAGTTTAGAGATACAAGGTAATGTTGACATAGTTATTAGTTTAGAGATACAAGCTAATGTTGACATAGTTATTAGTTTAGAGATACAAAGTATCAGTGACATAGTTATTAGTTTAGAGATACAAGCTAATGTTGACATAGTTATTAGTTTAGAGATACAAGGTATCAGTGACATAGTTATTAGTTTAGAAATACAAGGTATGGTTGACATAGTTATTAGTTTAGAAGTACAAGGTGTGGCCGACATTGTTAATTATACTTTAAGATTATCGATATTATTTTTTGACAGGATAAACATAAATTTCGATTTAAATATAGACATTAATACTATAAAGAGCGTTGTCAGAAAGCAAAGACTTTCTGCTTAAAACCAAACATATCTCACGAAGCTTCGTAATTCTAGTTTAAGACACAAATTTCGAAAATAGTACCTACCTACTCGATAGCTTCTAGCGACAAAATTTCGTGTTCCGTTATGTTCTTACTCTTCTTTATCACCTCATGTCCAGTTTAGACCGTCCTTTAAGTTATCCTTTTCTGGAAATCCACCAATCAGAGAACAATAACAGACTCAACAGGCATGATTATCTACCAGCAGGGTAGGTGATGTTTACTAAAAGCCCACCCATGGCGTGGTCGCTCCTGGAGGGCGAGTAGTGGATGCTGACAGAAAACATTCAACTAAATACCGAATTAAAATTTCCCGAAATAAACTGCGCCAATTTTTAATCCTTCTACTGCTAGAAAAAACAACAATTTCTGTTTACTTCAACGCATTTAGGAAAAATAATAATAATAAAATACCTAACGCGCTCGAGAACTCATATCAGTACACGTGTTCCGAATTAGTTTTGCTGTTGCACCGGCGATTCCAGATTGTGTTCTCGAAACCTGCACTAGCTAACTTACTCGGTTACCGAACAATGGCTGTATAGAATGAAGGGGCGACTTTTCGCTGTTAGTCACGGTGTGATAAGTTTATTAGAAATAATAGTAACCTTTTATTTTTGTTCGCTAAATGATAAGTTGTTTAAAATATTTAAAAGGTGAATTTCTGTTTGAATTCAAAACTGTACAATAGGCTACGTGCGTTGTGCCTACGCAAAGGATCGAAACCCGAATTTTAGTATTATAAACCTTCAAGCTTACTACTAAGTCACCGACGAGGGAGCAGATGATAACTGTATTAGGATAAACGACAAAATAATAATTTATTAGAAAGAATCATGGTAACATTTTTTCTTCTTTGCTGTCAGTCACTAAAACATGTTCCCCGGTGAGTCAGAAATAAGTTTACAGACTTACAACGCTAAAATTCGGGGTGTGAGTCCTCTCAGTGGACAGAGCGACTGTGTAGCTTTGCGGTGAAATAAAGAAAGCATACACTAAATTACCCCCCCCCCCAGTGGCACAGCTGTATGTTTGCGGACTTACAACGCTAAAAACCGGGTTTCGATACCCGTGGTGGGCAGAGCACAGATAGCCCAGTGTATAGCTTTGTACTTAACTTGAAACAAACAAACATACATACACTAAATTATAACTTATTACTGTTGGTCACCCAAAGATAAGCGTGTTAAGATGAACGGTAACTTTTAATTTTTATTTAATAAATGATAACAGTTTATTAGAATTAATTATCATTTTTAGGCACTATTAATATAACAAGAGGCAACGTTTCGCTGCTGCTCACTAAATGAAGAATATATTAGAATGAACGGTAACTTTTCCTTTTTGGTTACTAAGTTGTAATTGAAGTGGAAAGAACGGTAACTTTTCACAGTTGGGCATTAAACGGTAACTGAATTAGAACGAACAATATCCTTTCCTTTGTTTGGTTACTAAATGATAAATGTACTGCAGAGAATTGTAATTTCTCGTTGTTTCTCTTTGTTTTTCACCTGAATGATTTCAGTTGGAGAAATAATTATTAAAGTTTCGAATTTGTCTCGTTCATGGTTGATTGTTGGTTTAGAATTAATGGGAACTTTTTTCTTTTTTTGTCTCGAATGATAACTGTGTTAAAACGAACAATATTCTTTCATTTTTTTGGTTACTAAGTAACAAATGTATTACAGTAAATTGTAACGTTTCGGTATATTTTTTTTTGTCTCGAATGATAACTGTGTTAAAACGAACAATATTCTTTTATTTTTGGGTTACTAAGTAACAAATGTATTACAGTAAATTGTAACGTTTCGGTATTGTTGTTGTTGTTTTTGTCTTGAATGATAATTGGTTAAAACAAACAGTATTCTTTCCTTTTTTGGTTGCTAGGTAACACATGTATTACATTAATTGTAACGTTTCGGTATTGTTGTTGTTGTTTTTTGTCTCGAATGATAACTGTGTTAAAACGAACATTATTCTTTTGGTTACTAAGTGATAAATGTATTAATGTGAATTGTAACGTTACGGTATTGGTTGTTGTTTTTTTGTCTCGAATGATAACTGTGTTAAAACGAACATCATTCTTTTGGTTACTAAGTGATAAATGTGAATTGTAACGTCTCAGTATTGCTTTATTTCGTCTTGAATGAATACCGTATTAGGATTAATGTTATAGCTCACACTTAGTTCTTTAATGATAACTAAAAGAGTAACTAACTTATAATTTTTAGAGTAACAGAAATAGCTAATTTAGTTAGTTAAAAGAGGTCCTCATGGTTATGATTATTATAATCTAACTTCTTCTAACAATACAAAAATTGTACACTCTAATAATAACAATATATCCTGCTCAACGATTTTGGAAACACATATGTGCTTTAAGAGGGGTGTGTTTTTATATACAACTGGACAAACACATGATGGTGAAATGTACATACTTCTTGTGCAGTAAAGTCACTTAATTTTTTTTTAAATTACAAGTTACAGTTTTTCTAAATTGAGAACTACACCACTAAAATGATATATATATATATAATTCTTAAAACCAAGACAAGAAAAGAGTGTATTTGAGGATACCATTTGTCGACAGAGCCCAGAGCCGGCCCAAAGTAAAATTGGGGGCCTGTTCTAACTTTGCATTTGGTGTCTCCTCATCTGTAAAATTGACAAGAATTGATAACTGCAATGTGGATTTTGGTGACCCTTGGGAAGAATGCCCAATGCGGGGACACACGTACCCCACCCTCAAGGGCTGACCCTGTTTGTCGAAGAGAGCCGATAATACTTCTGTAACATACAGAAAGCGTTCTCCTGTACAATGTCAAATAAGTTTTCGGTTCGTTTCTTGTTAAGCACAATGATGTTATCTGCATTCTGACCACCACAGAAATCGAAACCGGATTTTTAGCGTTATAAGCCCCAAACTTTCAGATTTATCACTAAGCCACCGGGGAAATCAAGTAGTGCATTAGATATTTGGGATTTGTTTGATTGCAGCAATCACAATCTCACACAATGGGCTATCTGTGCTCAGCCCATCACAGGTATCGAAATCCGGTTTTTAGCGTTGTAAGTCCGCACACATACCGCTGTGCCACTAGGGGACAGATATTTTGTAAATTGTATAAACTATAGTGTCATGGGTGATTACCTAGTTTAACGTATCTGACTACATTTATTACTAAACCTGTAATTAAATTCATTAAGCTCGAAAAAATTTTTTATGTATACTTAGATGTAGAAGAGTTTACTATTCGTGACCCCGTAAATACGATCCATTAAAAATTTCACGTTTACTTTAAGTGTTATTGGGACAGAGCTATCAGATGAACATAAACTCAGAAAATGATGGTTCGTAATACGAACTCAATTTAAAAATACGTTGTTGATTATACGTCAAAATATCTATAAAAGACAATTTTAATTACTGTTCATGTCTGTCTGATAATTTAATACTGAATTTACCTGTACATTACTGCAAACATCATTCATGTGTTTTTCCGACTGAGAAATGGTAAATGAGATGCCAATTTAACATATGCACTAAATGGTTTAAAATTAACAGGACAATTCTTCAGTTGTTATTCATAAGTTTAAAAACAAATTTATCATACAGCAGGTGCCAGTTTATCATAGATAAATCCTTTAAATATAAATTGAGGCTGCAAAAATAACAACATGAAACTTGCTGTTTTGTTTATTGAATTTCGTTAGCTGTCCTTAATTTAGAATTAATAAACCAGAGCGAAGGCAGTTAGTCAACACCACCCATCGCCAACTTTTGGGTTACTCTTTACAATAAATACTGGGATTGACCACTACATTATAACGTTCCCACTGTCGAAAGGGCGAGCATGTTCGGTGGTGGGATTCGAACCTGAAACCTATAGACTTCGAGTTGAATACCCTCATCATCAGGCCATGCCAGGCCTGCTTGGGACTTTAATGTTACATTTAATTGGTTAATTTATTGTTTTTGTTTTAATTTGTATTACGTATTTATAAAACTATTAACCAAAAATGATAAAGGTGAAGTAAGAAATGTTTTTAAATTATTCTGATTAATTACATACACACACAAAAAAACATAATTTTGTAACGAAATCTAATCATTTGAACACGAAAACTAATAGTCTGAATATATATTTAATTGTTATTGTATATAACTTTTTGTGAGGCAAATAATCTAGTAAAATATATAAACAAATGACATGTAATGTTATCTAAACAATTTATATTCATAAACATTCATAACTATCCTTCAATTATATTAGACAGTTAACCCCCCCCCCAGTAGCACAGCGGTATTTCTGCTAGAAACTGGGTTTTGATACCCGTGGTGGGCAGAACGCAGCTAGCCCATTGTGTAGCTTTATGCTTAACTTCCAACAAACAGATAATTAAAAGTAGTTAAGAAATAAATTTATACAAAAAAAGATGCAAAGTTAAAACATTTTTTTACATGTATTGTAGTGGTTCCTACTGATTGTGGAGAAAATGTAATTTGCCAAACATTAATCCATTATTCGCAGAATTCTCTAAATTTTCCACCACAATAATGTATTTGGTGTTATTACGAAGCACATAAATAATGTAACTTCCTTTTTGTATTTAACTGATTAAAATTTCCTTTCGTTGTGGCTTATAAAGTTAAAATTCCGGCTTCAATCATCTCGATGGACACAGGGCAGATTGCGTAGCTTTGCCTTTAAAAATAGAACTGAGCGAGGTCCAATGAGTAGCGTGCGAGATTGAGTAGCAAAGAGTCCGTGGTTCCCGTTACTGTCAAAAAATATAAAATCGCACTTCGTACTTTGTGGCGGTGATTAAGTTATAAGAGTGACGGTCAATTCTCATTTCTGTCTAACGAGAGTAACTCAAGAGTTGGCGGTGGGTACTTTTGACACCTTCCCTCCTTTTAGTCTATCAGTTCAAAATTAGTGAAGGCTGGAAATATAGTCCTCGAACAGCTTTTCACAAAATTGAACAAATAATCAGTGCTTTCAATATTTTATTTTCATTCCTGAGAAAAAAAATCATTATTGATTATTTCATGATAAAACAATAAAAAATACTATATTATTGAGTTATTTACCAAACGAAGGAGTGGAATGCAGACATGCCCCATTGTTTAATGCAGAATTTTTCAAAATTTTCATATATGTGAGGGAGTTTTTAGTTTAACATAAAATGTTGGAAAATAAAGTAGCTAGTTACCAATTGTTATGGGTCATTCAACTAGGGTATTATTTATGCCTTCACATAGGAAAAATTTCTGTAAGGTTGAACATACTATGCGAAAATAGACAGTGATCCTTCCCTATTAGCGGGAATGACCAACAGTCATGCAGGTAGCACACGCGTCCTGAGAAGAACAGAATTATTGTTTCGTGCATATAATGTTATGTTTTCTCTGTTTGGATCAATTTCTTGACATACATAGGTACAGAGAGTTCTTTCTGGTAAAAGTGCCGTCCGTTGTCAAGTGCTTACTTTTTGATTGTTTTTGTGCATTAAATAAAGGTTGTTTCATTTTGTTACATATTGTATGCAGTCTCATTCATTTCTTTAAACTCATTTAAAGTCAGATAATTCAGATTCACTGAGTAATACATTTCCTGTAGAACTTCCTAATCACTCTTAGGGAAAACCAGTGCACCTGAAAATACCATAAAGGTATTATTGCATCATAAGTATCATTTACATTTTTGATAGTTTTTCATCAAAGTTTTAGTGTGAGAACAGTTTGTTTTTAATGTATAATATTTAGCATTGTGTGTAAAAATCCTTAACTCGTTTAACGAAAATTTCCAAAAAAGATGTAAAATGCCCCAAAGTTCGAGATGAATTATTCCTTTGAAGATATATTTTAATTTTATTTAAAGAGAAAGTTTACTATTATTAACCTTTCATGTTGTTATTATATTTGTTTGTTTGTCGTAAAGCACAAAGCCACACAATGGGTTATTTGTGTTCTACCCACCGCGGGCATCAAAACCCCATTTTTAGCGTTGTAAGCCTATCGACTTATCGCTGAGCGACAGAGGAGGGGACCTTGATATTAGTAATATGTTTAATTTTGTTTCAAATATTTAACATAACTATAGAAAAAGATAAAAACATTTTGAGAGAGAATCTAATAATTGTGGCTGAAGAAAAAGTAACTTATGAAATCATTTTAACACAACTAGACTTAATAATATATATTTTGTGCCACCATCTGCACGGGAGTCCTTTATTTTAGGGACCCCTAGTTGCTCATCAGTGAACCTGAGGGCTTATAATGCTAAAATTCGAGGTCTATCCCTGCAGTGAGCAAATCGCGGATAGTTCCATTGTGCAGCTTTGTGCTTTAAACAAATACACCTTCATTTCAGGGTTCCTGACTTACCGATAAACACTTTCAAACACTATTAATACATATTTGACGAAGTAATTATTCATACTTTAAAGCCACAGTTCCTTTAAAAACAACAACAACATATTTGAAATATTTCAGTAAAGTTTTGTATTCTATTATATTTGTGTTTGTGTGAATTTTCATGTTGTTTAATCTCTAAATAAAATCAGTTCAAGGAACGTTGTCAACTTAAGAATAACGACGTTTGTTTGTTTTACAAGAGTGGAATCAAGCTTATACACAGAAGTTAAAACAAATTTCAAGATACTTATTTGAATGGGCGGCAACTGCCTGTTGTAGAAACACAAGTGTAGCGGACGACGTTTCGAAGGTCTTCCGCCTTTCGAAACGTCGTCCTCTAAACTTGGGTTTCTACAACAGGCAATTATCGTCAATTCAACCAAGTTTCATCATGAATAGTCTGCCTAAACAACCTATCAAAGAATTTCAAGATAGTTTTAAATAACATAACATAATATTATGGGATAACAAGTGATCAATTGGTCCATCTCGGCTGTCTCATCCTCTAAACTAAACTAAAACTATTAAAAAGATAAAGAAATAAAAAATATTATAGCCAGCCCTTATCATTCACGTACTTTTCAAGCTTTTTCTTAAACTCACTTAAATTTGCTGCCTCCACAACATCTGAAGAAACCCATTCCAAAGGCTAACCAGCCTGTTAGAAAAATAAATCTTAACTGACGATGGCTCCTACCTTGCCAAAATTTATATTTGTGTCCCCTAGTCCTACTATCCTCACTGTTAAATATGAAAAAAGATGATGCATCAACACTATCAATTCCCTTTACAATCTTAAACACTTCAATCAAATCCCCTCTAACTCTGTTTCATTGATGTTTAATAAAATGCAACAGCTGAGTCGTCATAATTAAATCAAAGCCCGGCATGGCCAGGTGGTTATGGCGCTTGACTCGCAATCAAATGGTCGCGGGTTCGAATCCCCGTCCCACTAAACATGCTCGCCCTTTCTGCCGTGGGAGCGTTATAATGTAACGGTCGTTGGTAAAAGAGTAGCCCAAGAGTTGGCGGTGGGTGGTGATGACTAGTTACCTTCCCTCTAGTCTTTCATTGCTAAAGATTTAAAATTGAAAAACAGCTAAAATGGGATAGAAAAAAAGGGACCATTTAAAAACAACGTTTCGCCACTGGCATCATCAGGTACTCAGCACAATTGTACACGACACTTAAGTACACCCAACTGGTGACCTCAACCACATAACCTTATAGATATATAACTGTTTGTATATTTGTT